GGCAGTTGAAGACTAGGAAAGGTCACTAGGCTGAGAAGAAATACTTACACTGGAGATAGGAATACAAAGTCTAAATTGTGAGGCATTTCTTCCTAGCCAGGAGCTCACAAATGATTAGTACTTAAGGGACACTGGATCTGTGATATGTCACAATTGGAAGATGCCTTCCTGTGCCCAATGTAACATTTGTATATATTCAAGATTGTACAATTTGTTAATCATAGGTGAACAAGGTAAGGCTAAGGTGTAATTTATATTGCAGGTTTTCCAAATCTGGTTAGTAAAAGCCCTAGGGGCAAGTAGAAGGTGTCACGCAAATTTTTAATGGCATCTGAAAATGACCAGATCGATGAACAGGGATGCAATGAGTACAATTGTTACAATTCTAATTCTGACCAACGATTGCTGGGGGACTTGATCATAATAGTATATGATATCGATTAGCTGCATATTAAAACTTGATAAGGTCTGGTGCCCCAGGACCACCTTTAGGAGAAGGAGAGAGAAGAATAAAACGTGATATTCTATGGGTCTTATTGTGCAAAAGGAAGTTAGGAAAGGGATTTTGTTATGTGTTTCGCTGGGCCATTGGAAGTGGGACATGTAGCGCTTCAAACGAATACAATAGCTTTGGCATTATAGACATTTTTAAAACATTAATTCTACCAAAAATAGAGATATTGTGGGTATCCCATAGTTTCAGTAATGTATGCATTTCTTGGATTAAGGAAGGTAGTTAGGTTTATAAAGGTTTGCATATTTGTTTGTGATAGGTGTGCCTAGGTATTTGATAGACTGTTGGTACCATTAATATTGATAATTGGCTTGTAACTGGGAAAGGTGGGCTGGAGGGTTAAGGATTGGCAGGGCTTAAAACTTCACAGCATACAAGATACAGTGTACAACTGGGAGGATGGTGTGAAGATATTGTCCACAAACAGTGACAGCCAGGGGCGGACTGACCATTTGGAAACTCGGGCACTGCCCGAGGGCCCGGGGTCAGTAGGGGGCCCCATGAGATGCCCCTGGTACCTTTTTCATAGGCTTTTTTGAGTTTGGGCGAGGACACAGGGGCCCCATGATCCCCTATTGCCCGGGGGCCCCATGAGTTGTCAGCCCGCCCCTGGTGACAGCTTACATTTTTTACTTTGGATTTTAATACCATGTCAGCTCTCAAGCAGATTGCTGCAGTTAGAGGTTCTAGGCTAAGAAGCAGCGCATGAGTTTTGGTCTTATTTGTCACATTTATCAGATCAACTGTCCATCTTGTATTTCTCCACCACCTGCCTAGACAAAACTAAGCCCATTTAGTCTTGGTGTATAGGCTTAGGAAGCATCTAAGACAGCCTGTTGTTTTTGTAAAAATTGTTGTAATCTGAATAAAGCAGTGATATCTGTCTGTAATTGGCTGGGGATGCATGTTGAAAATGAAAGTGTGGGACTTAGCCCATAAGCAAGAACCTGTAAAGAGCCAATAAGGGAGAGGTTAAAAAAGTTTAATATTATAGGAAGAAGGAAGGCTATCCAGTCCAAGAGATTTATGAAGAGATAAGTCTTTAATGACTCTATTTCTTCTGATGAAATATCATTGTTTAATGAGGACGGATCTGCATGTGTTACTTTTGGAAGTTTAAGGTTTGACATAAAGTCATCAAATGCCCCTTTATTGAAAGGAGTATGTAGCTCTGGCGACAAGCATTTATACAGCTTACTATAAAAAGTCTCAAATGTTTTTTGCAATAGCATGACGGCAGTAAGTAGGGGTATCACATCCTGTTGAAAAAAGAAACTCAGGGGCAGATTGAGGTGGTGTAGTTTTAGTTTATTCACTAACATCCTGTGGGGTTTATTGGAACTTTCAGAATTTCTGTTTAGTCCACAGGAGATTTTTTTTTAGTTTTTCCATGTCAACTGCCTTGAGCTGATTTCAGGATGACAGCTCATAACTGAGGCACTGTACTTGAAGATAACAACCGACATTCCATTTTATGTAATTGTTCCAGTAGTTCCATTTTAACCATAGCAGAATCTTGTTTAGGATGAGTACTAGCTGAGATGCATCGACCCATATTATAATATTGTGATGCATTGACCTCTAATACAATATATTGTGCGCTTCCCATAAAGTGGAGATCTGTGAGACTTATCAGTATTTAGAGGGAAGAATTCCTTCAAAGATGGATCAGAGGCTACATAAACCTCTGGGAAATATTATTTTACCTCAAATTTGAATGATCTCTCTTTGTGGGAATGTATTTGTTGTACACATAGATATTTCCATATGGAATTTAAATCTTTAACATTGTATGATGGGATCTGCAATGGCATTATACAATAGAGGTTTGAACAGTTGTTGGTAAGCAGGCCTAACATATCCTTATATAACATATAACTCCATATGAGGAGCCATTTTAAGACAGAAAAGTAAAACCTGGTGTGCATCAGCATCCATCTCAGGATGCCATGAATCATACTACAGAGACCAAAAGGGAACACACAGATGTCAAGCTTTAGAAAAGGCCACCTACTGCTTTTCTCCAAAAACGTTCAATAAAATGACAACCTGAAAAATGTGCAATTTGGCCCATATGGGTAGAAGACGGTATCCTCTGAGGGATACGGTTATGCAGGCATAAAGGTCCTAGTGTAACAAGGGATGGTGCTCACCCATCAGTCTCATGTAAGGAATCAAGATTGAGAGGTACGTTGAGATGCTTGAAGATATTATTTTGTCTTGGATTTAGTTGGTGTCAATGTCTTGCTAGGAGACATAATGGGCTTTGGTCATGATATAAGAATTGAAAATGCTTCTTCAGGCAAAGGTGAAAGTCTTAAGTTTTTGAGAAGTGCCTCTCTTCTTGAAGGGACAATATGCTAAGTTCCATCTTTGATCCCCATAAGTCTGAAGAAGAATCCCAAATGATATTGAATGTGATTTTTGTGCAAATGTAATGTTATGGGTCACAGTGAAGGTGACTGGTGTGTATGATAGGTGACAGATGACTAAAGATTTGGATTTTCACCCCTTTGTAATCAATCTTTGACTTGTTGTGAGTAGAATTTAGTAGTTTGTTTGCTGTCATAATAATGAAAGGGGTTGATGATGTCCCTAAGACTGGTGGCTTAGAAGGAACGGTGTGCACTATCCATACGCTAGTCCAGTATATTAGGGGCTAAACCGGTAAATAATCCCACCAAATAGGATTGAAGCTCTGCATTTTCCACAGTTTCTGGTACCCAGGGCTTTCTTTCTGCCGGAACGCGGCGGTACTGCGTTCCGCCACCATTTTTCTTCTTGTCCCCAACCGACTGCCTCTGCAGAGCTGACAAGCTATGCAGAGCAGCGAAAGTGAAGGTGCCGGACGCGGCTTGTTTATGTCATGCTTTGCCCGGCACCTGTCACTGCCGCTGCTCACAGCCGGTGAGCGGGGACATGCACGCTTCACCCCCCCCCCCTCTACCGCCAGCGTGTAAACATCGGGGGGCGCGGACGATGGGCGAGGACACTATTTCACCGCCCCCCCCCCGCCGGGTGTAAACATCGGGGGCGGCGCGGCGACATCAAAGTGACATTCTGTGGACGCAGGGGCCGTACAGCTTGGAGTAGGTAAGCTGCGCTCGGCTCCCTGTCAACTGCAGTATCATGTATTGCTCTAAATTTTTACTCTCTCCCCCAGCCTGTGCCACCTAAACTATCCCAACCACCTGTGCCCACCTAAACTATCTGAGCCCACCTAAACTATCCTCACCCACCTGAGTAAACTATTTCAGAACGCAATTGCTCAGCGCTCAGCGGCGCCGATGAGCGCCCCTGGTCCTGTGCATGAGGAACAGGAAAGATAAATTCAGTGATGGACGGTATTTTTTTGGCAACCCTTGGGGAGCCTGTCACATCTACCAACAGGGTACACATGCATGCTAGACTGATTTTATATCTATGCTGGACGTTTACAAACGGCCTGCCATGATTTTATATCTATGCATGTGTTTGGTGTCAGTACGGTACTGATTTTATATCTATGCGTGTGTTTTCTGGTGTCAGTACGGTACTGATTTTATATCTATGCATGTGTTTCTGGTGTCAGTACGGTACTGATTTTATATCTATGCGTGTGTTTCTGGTGTCAGTACGGTACTGATTTTATATCTATGCATGTGTTTCTGGTGTCAGTACATTAGTCATTTTATATCTATGCATGTGTTTCTGGTGGTACGGTACTGATTTTATATCTATGCTTCAGTGTATTTCTGGTGTCAGTACGGTATTCATTAAATAATGCATGTGTTTCTGGTGTCACAAATGCATGTGTTTCTGGTGGTACATTAGTCATTTTATAATGCATGTGTTTCATGCATCATTTGACATCATTTCCCTTATATGGTATGTACGGGAAATGATGTCATCGGAAGCCCCTCCCAAAAATTTTACTTGCATGAATCCTGTTCTCTAAGGGGTGGTCCTAGGGTTTGATGGGGGCGTGGCCAGGTTTGGGGGTGGGGAGTTCCACCACCTTTCCTCTGAGAAAAAAAGCCCTGCTGGTACCTCTCTAATACAAAGTTTTTAACACCTTTCCCTGTTCTCTAGGTCTTCCTGTAGCTGAGGGACATTCTGTTTTCAAAGTGCAGTTGTCTTCCTCTAAGACATGGACACATTGGATTAAATCGTAAAATTTTGTTTACTAACAAAAAGGAAACCATCAATTGGTTATGTGGGTGGCAGGGGCACAATACCAAATGAACCACACAAATAGTGTGCTAAAGTGGTAAAAATCAGGCCATCTGGTTTGAACCATATTGCATCTGTAAAAACATATTTCTAACAGTGGTGTGCATTATAGAGTTTTTGCCCCATATTTCTTGGGCTCTTTTCCCCACTTCAGTGGATATAGTGCATGTGATATTCAACAAAAGGGTATAGAGCTTTTCATCTTAAATGTCTGCTATCAGATATGGCAATGAATTAACAGATAGACTAAGGTTATCTCTTTTGTGGGATCCAGAAGGAGTGCCAGCTCACTCTAGGCTGGGGATGCAGGCTGTGTCAGGTACCTCCATGTATGCCTCTGCCAGGGGCGGACTGACAACTCATGGGGCCCCTGGGCAATAGGGGATCATGGGGCTCCTGTGTCCTTGCCCAAATTCAAAAAAGCCTATGAAAAAGGTACCAGGGGCATCTCATGGGGCCCCCTACTGATCCCGGGCCCTCAGGCAGTGCCCAAGTTTCCAAATGGTCCGTCCACCCCTGGCTTCTGCTGTTCCCTGGAGGGTGAAGCTGTGGGCTTTTGACACCTTATTTTGCACGTAGTGATCCCTGGATGAGTCACTGTCAGGTACGGGTGCTCCTGGGGTGGTGTATGTTGATTTGTGCTGTACGGGAAAAGAGTAAAGCAGCCTAGCGATGGAGAAAAGGGATTACACGTCCGTCCTCTTTAAGATCCATGTATGCGCCACAAGAAGATTTCCCCTTTATTACTGTTCTGGTGGCAGCCCAAAATCAGGGACTTTCTGTCACTTTTACTATTTGTATTAATGGCAAACAGGACAGAGAGAGTAAATATCAAGGGGTTCTAATCTCTGTCTACTTTATTCAAAAATAAAATGAAAGTTTGCCTTTAGTAATATTTTAACCTCCCTGGCGGTATGATTACTTCAGATTTTTGGTGCTGAAAGCGGTACATTTTTTTGCATGGAAATATGTAATTTTTTTTTTTGTAGGCCTGTAATTTAAGAATAACTCACTGAAATCCGTCCGAACAAGAGTCTAGTAAACATCCCGGGTATGATAAAACTTGAAAACACGAAATCATAAATTATAATTTAATAAATAATCATAAAAAAATAATAATATAATAATAAATTTAATTCAATAATATAATCAAACCAAAAACACTGAAATTTGAAATATAGCGCCAAGTTCGCACATCGCTGAGCAAAGTCGCAAAATCGTTTTCAGTGTCTGATGACGAATTTCCTCACAAATCACTCAATTCTGCAAGCGGTTCTGATTTACTATCGCTGTTCTCTAGCCAGTCTAAAACTGCTTTTGACCTAAAGGGATGCTTTCTGGATGCCATGGACATTTCTAAGTTTCCAGGCAGAAAGAACAGTCAAAATGCAGGCAGGGCACAGGACAAAGCAGCAGGGACAAAATGTATGTGAAATGGTTTGAAACAGCAATGTTTTACTATGTAAAATTCGTTTTTAAAAAAATGCCATTTTTTTTAAATTTTCAAATTTGCCACCGGTGCCGGCGCCCGTACGTTCCAACATCACAGGGACCGGAACACGGAACCTGGATGCCGGCATCGGCCGGAGGAGATGGCCGGGGACGCTGCAGGGGACGCATCGCGGGAGCAAAGGACAAGGTAAGCGCTGCAGGGACTCCCTATGCAACGCTGCATGGTAAGCCCGAGTGTAGCTCGGGGTTACCGCTTTTGGTACTGAAAGTCTACCCCGAGCTACACTTGGGAATACCGCTAGGGAGGTTAAAACAGATAAATTGAGACAGAAACATTGGGGTTGATTTACTAAAATTGGAAAGTGCAAAATCTGGTGCAGCTCTGCATAGAAACTGCATAGAAACCAATCTGTTTCTAACTGAACAAGCTGAAGTTAGAAGCTGATTGGCTACCATGCACAGCTGCAACAGATTTAGCACATTGCAGTTTTAATAAATCAAACCCAATTGGGCTTCCATTGCTTATCTCTCTTATAGGTCAATAAAATATGGCCAACTTGTTTTGGTGACCTACAGTCATTGAATATTAATATTAGAGTCAGTGTTCTTTGTTATTTAAGATGCCATGTATACAGTCTTATGGATGCCCTATACCATCACTAATTACTGTTATTTGTACTTATTTTATTGGCCAAATGGGTACTTAGTATATACAGTTCTCAGCATAAATGAGTACACTCTTTTTGAAAAGTAAGACTTTAATCAGTATCTCAATGAACAAAAGATCAATTTCCAAAACTTTGACAAAACTGATTTTTTTAGAACATTTGTTTAGCTAGTTACATGAAAGTAAGGTTCATTTTATAACTTAGATTATAAAATCTTCAGTTTTACTCAAATTAGTTGATGCAAAAATAAATTCACTCCACAACAAAAAATACTATGTCTAGTATTTTGTATGACCTCCATGTTTTGCAATGACAGCACCAAGTTTTCTAGGCATGGAATGAACAAGTTGGCAACATATTGCAACATCGATCTTTTTTAATTCTTCAAGAACAACCTCTTTTAGAGCCTGGATGCTGGATGGAGAGTGATGCTAAACTTGCTTCTTCAGAATCCCTCATAGGTGTTGGATTGGGTTCAGATCAGGAGACATACTTGGCCACTGAATCCCTTTCACCCTGTTCTTCTTCAGAAATGCAACAGTGGCCTTAGATGGGTGTTTTGGCTCATTGTCGTGTTGGAAAAGTGCACAATGACCAAGGGCATAGAGTGATGGTAGCATTTTCTCTTTCAACATAGAGCAGTACATCTGTGAATTCATGATACCATCCATGAAATTCAGCTTCCCGACACCAGCGGCACTCATGCAGTCCCACAGATGGACGTTGCCACCATGTTTCACTGTAGACACCATGCATTCTTCATTGTACCCTTCACCTTTGAGACGCCATACAGTTTTGAAGCCATCAGTTCAAAAAACATTTATCTTCCCATCACTCCAGAGTACAACGTCCCAGTAATCATCTCCTTTTTCAGCATGGGCCCTGGCAAATTCTTGGTGGGCATTTTTGTGCATGGCCTTAGGAGAGGCTTGCATGCCATTCCTCTGTAGTGTCAAAGGAAATAATCACCCCAATTTGGTTTTCTACTTCTTTAGCTAACTGCAGTGAACTTGCATGGCGATTTTATTCAACACTTCTCATCAGAAGATGCTCCTGTCGAGGTGTTAACCTCCATGGATGGCCTGGACGTCTCTGTGAGATGGTCGCAGTTCCATCTTTGTTAAATTTTTCTATCATTTTTGCAACAGTATTCTGACTGATAAGTAAAGCTTTGATGATCTTCTTGTAGTCTTCACCTTTCTTGTATAAAGAAAGTATTTTCTTTCTCAGGCCTTGTGACATTTCACTTCCATGTGGTGCCATTGCTGAAAGCATGAAATGGGAAGGGGTTTTATTTGATAAGTAACGCCATTTTATAATCAACTGTCTGCTGGACACTTGTTTAATGAATAATTAGACTAACCTGTTGTTGAATTCTTGTTAATTAGGATTTTGTTGTCTAAAATTTAACTTTGCTCCTAAGACTTTCATTGGAGTGTATACATTTTTGCAACATGGTCTTGAATTAATTTGTTAGGAAAGATACTTTTTTGTGTGTGTAAATTACCAAATCTTGTTTGCAATCAATGGCCCCATTTGTGGGAGTATTTTATAGTATAGTGTCCATAGAAAATGTTGATTCTGCAATAAAAGTAAAGGTTTGGGGTGTATTAAAGGTAAATCTGTTGGGGTGTACTCATTTATGCTGAGCACTGTACATGCTGTAGTAAATATGAATGTACTCACTGACTGAAGTTGGGGTCTACAACTGCCATAGGGAAATACCAAAGAGCCTCTTTACCACTACACTTAGATCCATCTAACCCCAAGGAATATATAGCTTTTGTCCAGCAAATTAAATACTAGGTTTGCTTATCCCTATTATTTTTGTTACATTTCAAGACCATTTCTTATATAATAAACTTAATAAGCGTTCTTTCTCAAACACTTTAGTCAGAAATGGACTAAAATTATGACTTCTGACACATCTATTATCAGAGAGGAGATTTTTTTTAATACATGAGCCATTAAGGTCAGTATGGAGGGTAAGGTCAATGCAATATCTTGTGTCTTAGGCCATGTTATTTCTACCCTCAAAGCATTTCTCCTTCTCCTGTGACAAATCAAAACACCTATCTGATAGAAATCCCTACCAATCACTCCTTCTACTCATACGGGCAAAGAAGGTAAATCTATTCAGTGAGTTACTGTCTTCAAAAATGAAATATATCTCTAAAGTAATTGTTTAAAAAAATATAGAAGTCCTCAAGTATATCTGCAAAGCCCATACATTTAACTACTTAAAAAAAAATGTTTCTCAGAATAGAACTGATCCTTCTCCCTTTTAAATTGCATGGAACACAGTACCTAAAGCTTACAGCTTGTGTCTTTGGAATTACAGTACGATACTTCAACTATATTCCTTCCTTAAACTGTTTATTTATTTTTAAATACTTGAACTTTTTTCTTCTTTCAGACTTGGAAAGATGCTACAAGTGTCCGGAGGATCAATGGCCCAATGAGAGAAGAGACACCTGTATACAAAGAGCAACTGAATTCCTATCTTATGGAGATACATTAGGATCATCTCTTGCAGTTACAGCTTTGTCGTTCTGTTTTGGAACTATTATCGTGTCTGGAGTGTTTTTCAAACACAAAAAACACTCCAATAGTAAGAGCCAATAACCAGAACCTCAGTTTCATCCTTCTGATCTCACTGATCCTGTCCTTTCTATGTCCTCTGCTGTTCATCGGACGTCCCACAAAGATTTCCTGTCTTCTTCGACAAGCTGTTTTTGGAATAACTTTTTCTGTTGCAGTTTCTTCAGTTTTGGCTAAAACAGTCACCGTGGTTTTTAGCTTTTAACATGACCAAACCTAACAGCAAACAGAATAAATGGGTGGGGAAACATTTCTCTATATCACTTTTGATTGTCTGCTCTCTAGCAGAGATTGTAATTTGTATCCTTTGGTTGACTTTGTCTCCACCATTCCCAGAGTATAACACCCACGTAGAGGTGGGAAAGATAATATTACAGTGTAATGAGGGATCTGTCACTGCTTTCTACATTGTGATTGGATACATGGGAGGTCTGGCTGTTTTTAGCTTTATTGTAGCTTTTTTAGCCAGGAAACTTCCAGACGTATTCAATGAAGCTCAGTACATCACATTCAGCATGCTGGTCTTCTGCAGTGTTTGGATCTCCTTCATCCCTGCCTACCTCAGCACCAAAGGGAAATACATGGTGGCTGCGGAGGTCTTCGCCATC